GCGAGCCCAGAGCGCCCTCTCCTCTCCTTGGCTGACCAGACCTCTTCGCAGCTTGCTCTCGAAGGCTCGCCACCGGGCCTGGTGTTCCCTGGAAACGAGAAGAGAGGGTCTGACATCGTCAAGTCACAGTTGAATTTTTCAAGTGCGTGGCGATGGTGCTTCCCAGCAAGTGGGATGGGGACCCAACAACCAGCAAACGGAAGGGCCACGGGCTGATGTCTGCCCTTAAACAAGATACAGAAGACCAGCGTCATGGGTGGTGGTGGGTGCACGGAGGACAGAACAAGAGACCGCCGGCCCTGCGCCGTCCTCACAGCCCATGGATGCAGCCACGGTGTCCGTCCGTCTCCCTGAGGGCCTTCCTCTTTGTCCCTGTCCTTCTGCACACACACACTCACACTCAAGGAGAGTCTCACCCAGCGCCTCCCACCTACACCCGACCACCTGCTCACGCACCACACTCACAAAAATCAGCCACACCCACTGCCCAGGCACCTTCACACACCGCCGCGCGCACACTCATACAACACACCCACACATACCATGTGCACAGATACATTCACACCGACCACATACACACCCAGACACACCGCACATAGCAACTCAGACCGCACATACATATTGAGCTACAACACAGCTATAAGTCCACATCACACACACACACACACACACACACACACACACACACACGACAAACCACACACATAATTACACACACACGACACAGAATCAGAAAACCTGGTAAAGAAATGCTTTGGGAAGAAGCGATACAACAAGCCTCAGACACCTCTTATCTGCACACGGCACATCCCATGGACCCTGCCCTCTTTTCCTTTTAGAGGAGGGGGCGTCCCAAAGTTCACGGGAAAATGCTACCGTCTTTTCATTCCACTTTTCCATATGCTTTTTGGAGGCCCTGTGTAGATCTTCTACTTTCTTAAATGGGTACGGATGATGCCCAGATGCCCGGTCAGCTTATGCTCCAACGGTCCTCTCACTATTTTTGATAATAGGGGCAGCGACAAAGAGGAAGACCCTGATGGATGGATACAGCAGCCACCGCAACGGGCTCAAACGTCCACTTGCAGGCCGGGGCAGGGTTTATGCAGGGCATAGAGTCCCTGTGAGCCGGACCGAGCTCAAACGTCCACTTGCAGGCCGGGGCAGGGTTTCTACAGGGCATAGAGTCCCTGTGAGCCGGACCGAACTTGATGGCACCACACAAGAACCAAATGAAAAGGCCGGCGAACATGCATAGGCCCAGAGACTTGAAAAGACTCCCCGGCAGCCCCTCTGGGCACCATGCGCTCCTGAAACACGCGGTGCCACAGGGACAGGCCACTGTGTGTGTGCACCAGGCCATCCTGTGTCCC